TCCCACGCCACCGCCGCCCGCCGTAGAGCCGCCGTCGGTCGGAGAGAGAGCCCCAAGGTACCACCTTTAACCCTTCGGTGGGTTCGTCTCAAGCCCGCGATGTCGACGAGCCCTTCGTGGCCTCGCTGATCCATCGTGGCGCGCAGCGCCGTGAGCTCGCCACTGGCGAGGAGACGGCCAAGGAAGAGGAGGGAGCCATCGCACCTCCGCCTTCGTGTTCGGTGCGCCTGGTCCACCGTGAGCCATAGAAGGAAGAGAAGGAGTGGGCGCGGTCCACCGTGGACCCTGCTTGCGGTCCAAGGACCCCGTTGCTTTACCCAAGCCAGATCCACCATGAGCAAAATTAGTAAGTCTAACTCACTAGTCAGTTCAAATTTTTGTTGCATGCCAATCACGTGGTTGACCACGGATTTTAATTTTAGCAAAAGGATCATTATTACACGTGTCCGGGCGGGCGGCCCATATTCCGCCATCAATCCCAACATCCGAGCCCGTTCAACGTTGACCGTTGACCGATGACCGTTGACCTGATCCCACCTGTCAGTGACCGTGACCACCGCGAGCCAATCCCGTGCTGCCACATGTCAGCCTCTGAATTTTCCTGTCCTTTTTCTTTTTCAAAATATATTTTAAACTTAGAAAATTCATACGACCTCAGAAAAATATGAAACCAGTGTCCATTTTTTTCTAAAAATGAGCTCTATGTCATAGGCTTGTGTTTGAGTGCATTTGAATCTTTTGAATTTCTATTGCTTCTTTGTGATCATCTATAGGAGTCGCTTATCGCGGCTATATGTCTCGTTTGATAGACCCGAAGGAGCCACATACTGAGGAGCACGACCCCGACTACACTGAGGAGCTTGGGGGACGACCTTCCAGGTGCCACGTCCACCCAACCTTGTAGAATCCTATTAGACATGCTACAATGTAGATGCTAGTGCTTTACTTTTATGCAAATGATCTGTGATAGGTTGTATAGAAGAATTGCTTGTGAGCCATTACCTTGTCACAACCTATACCGCTGCACACCCGCTGTTAGGTTAGACGCTCGCTTACTTACTTGCTACTGGCATTATATCTGTGATGTGATGCTTGGTGGAGGATTGTATGTGAGTGGTTAAGGAACTGGGTGCTGGTAATGTGGTAACAACCGGGGAGATCTTAGCGTGCGTTTTGGGTGTGTGGTGATGGTTGAGTCGATCGGGCAGGATCTTATGACGAGTCGTTAGACGAGTCTTGCCAGGAGGTGCGACCTGGGCATCCCCTACGAGTGGTACCTGTGGCGGGTGCATGTGAGATGAGGAGATCCCGAGGTGGAGTGTCTTTGTGGGATGAAGCCCCGGGATGGAGGTGCCATCGAGGCACGGGGTGTTGGTTATCCCCTGTTGAGAAGATATCATGTCTAGTCCCCCTAAGGATTGGTATGTTGAGAGAACCGGATCATATGACCCTACGTACACACCACTCGCTCCTGAATGGGCGGGGGACGGTTACTCGACCAACTAGGACGGTGCCATTACTACTAGGTTGAAAGTGGATAGTATAGGGAGGTACGGGCGTATGGCCCACACCCTCCTAAGGCAGCATAGTGACTTCTAGGGGCCCGGTACTACGTCTCACAATCTTAGCGTGCCGGTGGACTCTGGGGTGGCCCGGGGCTAAGTGGTAGGATGGCACCATACCAGTTGGGAGGCAGTCGGTATCAGCATAGTGGCCGCACCGCCGATGATGATGATCTTGTGGTTCTAGGTGTACATGCTCTGCAGAGTTGATCGATCTATACGTATAGCCACGTCGTCGGATATGGACATTCCTGTGACCTACACTTCTCTTGATTAGTGAGTGGAGTCCTTTCTTCTCTCCCCTTGGGTTCTTGTGTTGGTTTCCGACTTTGGCCGATGAGGCAAGGTATGAGCGGGAGTCATCCTTGTCGTCTAGAGAGTGTGGAGTGGTGAGATGTGTGTGATGGGATGAAAGAACGTATGGATGAGATGGGTTAAAACTTGATGAATTATTATTAAAACTTGACATACTTGCATAAAAAACTACAACCACAAATAAGTCTTTTGCTCTACCCTTGCATTCCACCACCACAAAACAAACGCAAAGGATAGGGTGGGAGCCAGTGGTCAGTATAAATCGTACTGATAATTATTTGTCAAGTTCTGACTCTGAGTACGACTACCAGGAAGACGGTTGGAAGAATTAGAGATCTTGTTCATGCACTCAAGTTTGGTTGAGAAGATGGAGTCAATATCCACTGCCTTTCTACTTGATGTTGTTCTGAATGATGTATGATCTAAGTGATTCCACCAATAGGTGTTGTAATAATGAGTAAACCTTGTTATTTGTAATTTCTTTAAGACTGAAATTCAATGTATGAATATGATATCGACTGTTATTTGATAATATGATAGGATGATCACCTAGAACTATCTCGTTATAATTCGAAATCAGGATCGTTTCATCCTGCATGCCCCGATGCCCATGGTGCGAGATGCTCGTAACCGATGACTGACCACTAAATGTGGTAAACTAAACAAACTGTTGGGTGAATTCAGCCTAGAAAAACCTGGACTACGGTCTGATTGAACATGGTCTCGAGGCTTGCCTCAATCAATGAAATGCAGGCTTGCAGAATCAATATAGAAAAATACCCGCCCTTGACAAACCATCCAAAAAAATATAAGACCTGACGCCTGTAGCCACTAGTAGAATTTCCCGGATAGTAAAGGCAAATGAGTGTTCCGTATGATTATTGGAACATTTCATAATACAAAGACAGCAACTTGAGAATTAAAGTACACAGCTTCTGCTTCCATGCCAAAGCAAGACAGAAAATAGGGCAGCTTGGTGATAACATTTTTGAACAGAAGAGAATAGAATCACAATCAGTTTGAGGGGACGAGTTTCTTATTGATGCCCAAGTAGACCTTCAGCGCAAAGATCTGGCGGAAAATAAAGAAACCATCAGACCATCTGAAAACTCAAAATAAAGGAATTTGAAGAGGACACATGTACGTTAGATTCTCGATAAAAACATATGGTTTTCATGTTCACGCTGACTTACAAGTTAATAAAAAAGATTGTAAGCAGCTTCCAGTCTGTTAGGCATGATAAAGAGATACCATGAATGGCTGAACAGGGCATTCCATAAATAGCCTAGAAACAAGAAGGAAAAAGTCCATTTTACTACATCAAACAATTCACTTTGTTTGTTTGACCCCCTATACAAATAGCCTAGAAACACAACTTGTAAGGGAAGAAATAAAAAAAAAGACAAATTTCATTAGAGGACGAATCGGACTAATTTGAATAGTTTGAGGAACTAAATCAAGTCGATATTTTGTATAGGGTGTCAAATGGGGAAAGACATTTGTTGAGGGTAGTAAAATGGACTTTTTCCAAATAACAGTGACTCAAATTGCTCCGACTCAAATTGCTCCAGTCGCTGAAAGTGTGCTTTTGCACACCGCAAACATGTGCTGATGTGCACATGGTGCAACCATATATGGTCATGCCGACATTACACTTCAAAAAGAAAACTACAATTAAGAAAACACACATTAGGCTCAAAACCTCCATCCAGCATGGGTATAGCGTGACAGACTGACAGTCAACTTTAAGCTATTAACAAATACAGTATATTACAAGAAAAAAATAGTGGACAGAAACTGCCTCCATAGTCCATACCAGTGCACAGAGTGCGCAAAATTGCCACAGGCCCTAGATAACCCATATGCCACATAACCTATAAAATTCCCCTGTAACTTCTACGCTTTTGTTTGTTTTTGTATTTACATCCATCGGTGGTGTAGTCTTCTATTTAGGACAGACATAATCATGCCTTTAAAAGGAAAAAAAATTTATCAGTCACATATTGAGAACTGGTTATGAGAACATGGCCAATTCCAGTTTGTTTGGAAGTGTCCCAACCGATACAATGGACACCTGGAGTATACATCACAAAACTGAAGAGACCATTAACTTCCGACATCGATTACAACTTAAATGCCCCAATTTCATGTATAAACTCAGCCTCTGAAAATTCAAATGCAACAATCTGATTTTCCGGACAGCATACAGAAAAAACACCAATTCACCAAATATACTTGTTTGTCAGGAATTACTAAAGCTAAACTTGTAAACATAATGTTGATATAGTGATATTTAATTGTCTATATAGAGCAGTCAAATTCAAAGCAGCCATTTCTATGTCAATTAAAGGTCCAAGGTATACAAGCATGATTAGTCCATCATGTAGTACAGGTCTACAAATGTATTCAGATCTAGAATTTAGTTCGTGAAGTGCCTCAACACGAGAAAGTACATCACTCAGGCACCTGGGTTAATGGACAAACTTAATCCCAATAATTTAAGTTAACTAGGTCAGCCTACTGAGAAATGCAAACTATAGAGAATAAACATAACTTCATGTTCAAAAGAAAGACACAGAAAAGCAACTGAAAAATAACAAGTGTACACGGCTTAACGCAATCCATATTACTTAGGAAACACAAAGATACATAAATATCTACTTGAAACTCGCTCTCAACACCAAAGAGACAGGATAAGGGATAAGATAACTAGGAAGCAACCAGTTCATTATAGTCTCACAAAAACTCACTAAGGCCCTGTTTAGTTCCCGTCAGAATCCAAAAAAATCTGGATTTTGGCCCACCATTTTGCCAAATGGATCTAAACACCATCCAATTTTTTTTGCAAAATGAGGTCCATTTTGGATTCTGCATTTGGGAGTCCATAGGACAAAATTGAGCCCGTTTTGTGCTTGGAAGTCTACATTGCCCTCAGTACCCCCACCATATCCGCTCGTTCCCTTCCTCCCCGTTCTCTTCCTCCCTGACGCACTTCAGCCGCCGCCGCCGCTCGCTCCCACCGCCATCACTGCCTCTGTCTCCGGCCGGATCCTCCTCCGAGCTCGCAGATCCTCCTCTGAGCTCGCAGGATCTACCGTCTCCTCCCGGTTCGCAGCTGCCCGCATGGACGGGTACGGCGCCGACAGCTTCTACCATGGCGACAACGACGGCTACGGTGACGGCCACGGCTACGGCAACATCGACGGCACCAGGGAGTTCCTGTCCCAGCCACACCCCTCCAACGTCAGATATCCTGCCTACAATCGACCGACCTTCAACACCCCGGGTTCCAGCAGCTTCGCTTCTCCCAGGACGGGCATGGCGGCTCTTGACCTCAACTCGCAGGGCGCCGAATGGCCGCCCATGGGAGGCTTCCAGGGGCTCCTTCGCTCTGGTGGAGATCTCGACGGCCCCAATGTCTCCCCTCCCGTTGACGCCCGCAGCGCAAGCCGAACCCTAGGCTTCCGGGCTCCTCGCAGCAATACTGGAGGTGGAGCTGGGTCCGGTCGCGCTACCTCTACAGTCTCCTGCGGTGGACGTGTTGGTGGTGGTGTGCCTCCTGTCCCCGCTGTTGGTCGCGGCGTGCGTCGAGGGACCTCCGGCGTGGCACAACCCTTGACGGCCCGCGGCAAACATCCTCGAGTGCCAGCCGTCGCCGATGACAACTTCGCTTCCAACATCGAACGACGTCAACAACGTTGAGATCCTACCCAACGCTCCCACGGTATTTTCCCTACCAATTGATCTAGTGTGCCAGTTCATATTCAGTTCAGTTCATTTACTGATTGATACAAAATCTTTAGAATTACAAGATTAGTAGTAGTTTCTGGAGTGTACACTGGTCAGTAGGTTGGAAATGATAAATGGGAAATTGAAAAGTAGCTAGTGGCAACACAGGATCTATATACCTTTTATAGTTTCACATGCCTAGCAAACTTTTGCCACTTTGTCAATTTCAGTCATATGTAAAGTATAAACTTGCTTGCCTATAGAGTATGGCTTTACCTTTTGTGAGATTACCTTTCTTTATGTTGTGCACTTTCGCCTGAAGATGATATTAGTAGTAGCATAGAGATGATATCTGAATATCTTAGTATCTACTGGAGTTTTAGGGACTTAATCTGCTTCCAAGATAAGTGTAATAAGGTTTCTCTTCCGTTTGTTCCCGAACTAGCATCTTTTTATTTCGAATTCTTTAGCAATCATCACTGATCAGTTGCTCAACATCTTCAGTTATGCATTTTATATTCAGTTCAGTCCCAGTCCTACTCAGTTTAGTTCAGTTCATTTACCATTTTATATTCTTAGCACCATGTGCTTTAAAATGGTCAGTTACTTGGGATCTTAGAGATCATGTTTGGCCTGTTTGCATCATATTTATGAACTGAATGAATGTTCTCTGCTGTGAAGGACAACTAGCATCATAGTTATGAACTAAATGAATGTTTGTGTATTATATATGTCAATTCCGCTGCTTGTTACAGTACTTTTGATATTGTTATTTATATAGTTTCCTATTCTTGTGTATGTTTTAGCTTGGTAAAAGTAGGGCTGATTGGTCAGAGGAGAACACCGATAAGCTATGTAGGATCTGGTGTAACCAGATTGACATTGGTAATTGCACGAAAGGTACAATGACCAAAACAGGAATGAAGGAGGTCATTAGGCAGTACCATGCAGCTACTGGTAAGATGCACGACAGAGAACAGATCTCCAGTAGGTACAGGCAACTCAGGGCTCTGTGGGGTTTCATCAAGCAACTGAAGACTGACACAGGACTAGGCCGTAACTCTGATGGCACTGTGATTGCAGATGACGATTGGTGGGAGTCAAAGACTAAGGTTCATGCTCATATCTTCTATGTTCTTACTGCACTGTCAATGATGTTCTCTTCTCATACTACCAAGTGCTGCAGGGTAAGAAAGAATGGATTGTCAATTGTCAATTGCCTGGAAGGCAGCAGCATGCATGCATGCAATCTGCATGTATTAATGAGGGCAAATCTGTCATTAGTTGAGATCCTATTCTGGATTTTGGGTGGAAGTAAACACCCTACTAAACTATTTTGCATTTTGGGTTTTGAGGGGGATTTTGATTATGGATTCTGGATTCTGCATTCCGGGGAGAACTAAACAGGCCCTAACCATAAGTCATAAACTGCTCGCGATTCAGAGCATTAGAGCAACCACAAATGCATACGCTTAGCTAACCTATGAAACTAGCCAATAAGTGAACTAGATTTGGGCCCTGTTTAGTTCCCGTCAGAATCCAAAAAAATCTGGATTTTGGCCCACCATTTTGCCAAATGGATCTAAACACCATCCAATTTTTTTTGCAAAATGAGGTCCATTTCGGATTCTGCATTTGGGAGTCCATAGGCCAAAATTGAGCCCGTTTTGCAAAATCTGGAAGGCAGCGGCATGCATGCATGCAATCTGCATGTATTAATGAGGGCAAATCTGTCATTAGTTGAGTTCCTATTCTGGATTTTGGGTGGAAGTAAACACCCTACTAAACTATTTTGCATTTTGGGTTTTGAGGGGGATTTTGATTATGGATTCTGGATTCTGCATTCCGGGGAGAACTAAACAGGCCCTTGATCCATCCCGAATTTTCTTCGGCCGAATCAAAATCAGCAGAGCTCTCGACAGCAAGATAAATGAACCCAAGATAGAACCAGCCCACAATTCGTCTAAATACAACTCCCAGCAAATGATTCAACCTGTTGTCGCCAAATAACAAGCGCTCCCGCACTATCCCAATCAATTCGACCAAATTCCTACGAGACGGGGCAGCAACGAGATCTATCGAGCAGGAGCAGGAGCGTACCGGCACGGGTGTTTAAGAAGACGGCGGGGAACCGGAGTGGCGGGTGATGAGGTCGTCGTAAGGGTCCCGGCGGCCGGCGGCCTGGCTGATCTGCGGGTCCCAGGAGAGCTGCGAGTTGAAGCGATCGAAGGTCCAGAAGCCGTAGGGGCGCAGCGGGAGGTTCCACGCCGCCTTGGTGCGCTCGCACCGCTCCTTCATCTTGTAGACATGCTCCCGCCGAACCTGGTCACGCTTGTCCGGGTCCTCCATCAGACGGAGGATCAGGTTCTCCGCGAACTCCATGATGAAACCCATCGCCGCCGCCGGTCGCCCCCTCCCTCCTCCCCGGTGAGCTTGGGATCTGCTGGTGCGCGTCGGCCTCTCTAGAGTCTGGGGGTGCGGTGCAGTCTGCCTTCGGTGGGGAATGGTCTGCCTGCAGCCTGCGTGGCTGATGCGATGTCCGCTGACGATCTCAATCGGGACGGAGATCAAGCCCAGCTCGGCCCAACACGGGATCATTAGACGTGGGGCAGGCCTTATTCATGTTTTCCTCTCGGAAAAAGTCCATTTTAGCTCCTTAAACTATCCTCGAAGTCTAGTTTTCTTCCGTGAATTCTAAAATTGAGTAAACAACCTCCCTCAACTTCTAAAATTGTTCATTCCTGACCAGGCTATAGGTTATTTTCAAAGGCGGTTTCATCTTTTTAGTTTAAAAATAAATCCAGTAAATACCTAATGAAGGTTCTAAACCACGAAAAATATCTCTAAGCTTCTAAAAATTATGATAAAAATATTAAAGATGGATTAGGACACGAGGAACCCAAGTAATATATTTATATCTTGTGAAAACTCTCTAGAATATTTTTAAAAATTATTTAGCTCTAGGAAAATGGTAAAGATATGCAAAAAAATCTAGAAAACTACCAAAATGTTCTAATTCGTGTCTAAATACATTTTAGGAACTTTCCACAATATAAATATGATATGCAACTAACATAAATGCAACATATATTAATGTTGCATGCATTTATGTTGAATGCATTCATGTCGTCTTCATCTCATGTTTTTATTTTAAAAAGCATTTAAGATGCAATTAGATATCAATTGGAATATTTTGGTAGTTTTCCAAAAAAAAATTGGATATTTTATGCGATTTTCCTAGAGCTGAATCAAAATTTTAAAAGATTCTAGAGACATTTTTCACAAGATATAAATATATTATTTGGGTTTCTCGTGTTATAATCCATCCTTAGTATTTTTATCAAAATATTTAGAAGCTTAGAGATGTTTTTCGTGGTTTAAAAACCTCATTAGGTATTTACTAGATTTATTTTTAAACTAAAAAAACAAAACCGCCTTTGAAAACCACCTATAGCTGGGCCAAGTAGATAAAATGAACGGTTTTAGAAGTTGAGGGAGGTGGTTTACCCGGTTTTGGAGTTCAGGGAGGAAAACTAGGCCCCGTTCGGCTTACCCAGAAACCGGCTTGTTCGGCTTGTTTTTTCAGCCGGAACAGTGTTTTTCTCTCACAACAATTCAGCCAGAATAGTGTTTTTCAGCCAGTTTCAGCTAAATTTCAACAAACCGAACGGGACCTTTAAAGATAGTTTAGGGAGGTAAAATGGATTTTTTTTCTTTTCTCTTTTACTACTAGCTTTTTATGTGTTTCTCAAACAAAACGAAAAAACTAGTTTTTTCTCTTAGTCCTTAAAAAGCTTCTTCTGTGAGAGAAGGGTAAAATAAAAAGATCAGAAACGTTACTCCATCACAGTAGTACTCCGGTATTTTATACGCTACAAAGATTACTGTCAAGCATAGCTAGCTAATCTTACATATACAAGTGTTCAAGTAAATGCGCTATGAACATATATTTCATGTATAATGTAACGAAACTAATTTGACAGTGTAAAATGTTTTCTCCATGGTTCAGCGGTGGTTCGGTTCATTGAACGTTGGGCACCCAATGACCTAAATGTTTGGGCACCAAATGGGCTCATCCATAGTGAACTGGAATCTATCATCCATGGCGGCGGTTCCAACGCTGGGCACCCAATGAGCGCATCCATGGTGAACTAGAATCCATCATCCACGGCGATTTTTTTTAAATTTAACCTTTTTCTTAAAACAAATTCCAAATCTAACATCGTCGTTTTTTTTATTTTCAAATCTAACCTGTTTGTTCGCACCTAAGTCCATGGCGCGGCCAAAACACGCTGCCACACCACATGCATCGGCGCGGCACGATCTGCCATGTCGGACAATGATTTCCACATGTAAATGCTTGTTGTGCCACTCCCGTCGGCGCGGCAGCACTGTAGCACCCCGCCAACCAGACTGGCGCGGCAAAGCACAATCTTAGAAAAATTGTATCTTTTTCATACGACCTCGGATGAAGATGATCTTTATATGAAAATTATAACACTCGATGAGATCTGCAACTTTTTAGTTTTGAGTTTTTTCATTTGAGGTCGTTAAGATGCTCAAAAAATTAAACAATATTTCAGCAGTATATTAATCGCGTACAAACACATATCGCCTTGGAAAAATCATATATTTGTTATATGGAGTCAAATGGAGATACTTTCTATATAAAAATTGTAGCTATCGACGACAAGATCTACAACTTTATAGTTTTGAGTTTTTCATTTGAGTTCGTTAAGATGCTAAAAAAAACGCTTGTCATCTCGGAGAAATCATATCTTTGTTATATGGAGTCAAATGGAGATACTTTCTATATAAAAATTATAGCTCTAGATGGGATCTACAAATTTATAGTTTTGAGTTTTTGCATTTGATATCACTAAGATGTTCAGTAAAAACATTTTTTTAAGTTTCAGCATCGTATTAATCGCGTACAAATTCTTGTCGCCTTGGAAAAATCTTATCTTTTTTTTTGTATGGTGTCAAGTGAAGATACTTTTTACATAAAAGTTGTAGCACTTGATGAGATCTATAAGTTTTAAGTTTTTTCATTTAAAGTCGTTATCTTGAGTGTGTGACGTGACTGATTACTAATCCAGTTGCTAAAAAAACAGAGAGTTTAATCATATTTTGGTTGCTAAAGGTGAGTTAGACAACAATAAAGTTTTTAACCTCAGGACTTGGAGGCACCTCAATAAAATCTTCTGACGGACCGAAGTCTTAGAGGTCTATCCAGCTCCAAGGGCTTTATGGGTGCATTTTCCTTTTATTTGTAAGAACTTTTTCTTTTGGTGAGGCTGCAAAGACCTATTTTTTTCTTTCTTCCAGTAAGGTTTCTTATTGTATTTCTCCTGAGGGTTCTATCCTAGAGAGAAAGATAAGACGCTAGGAGTCCACGGTTCAAAGGGCTTCAAAATAAAATTTCAAACCGTCTGGCCAATTCCACCAAAAAAACAAAACGAATAGCAGGTGGAAGTGGCATTAGACACCAACGAAACCTTTTATAAATTCTATTAAATAACTTATTCAAATTATTTCTGAATTTTCTTTTGAATAAAAGTAGCATTAGATGCCAATAAAACCTTTTATAAATTTTATTAAATAGTAACTTATTCAAATTATTATTGAATTTTCTTATGACATGATATGTCATAGTTTAATTTCTAAGTTTATTAGACCTCACCAATTTTACAATTAACGATGTCTCCTATTACGTAACTTCTTTTCACCATCTTTGGATTAAAATTTTATGCGAAGCGACTGCGAAAGTGTAAGTGAGATAATAATAGTACGTGGTTCACTAAGCTATCTACCATGGCCATTACACGCACGGTTGGTGCACAGTTCTTTTCTATGAGCACCATAATACCATCACCTAACAAACCAATCATCTTCATCCGTTCTGAACTCGTGAGTCGACTCTCGATTAGTAACCACTCACATCGCGCGCAAAAGATAATGACCTCAAATGAAAAAAAAACTCAAAACTATAAAGTTATAGATTCAATTAAGTGCTACAACTTTTATGTAAAAAATATCTTCATTTAGCACCGTACAAAAAAAAAAAGATTTTTCTAAGGCTACAAGAGCGTTTACGCGATTAATACGATGCTGAAACTTTATATTATTTTTTCTGAACATCTTAGTGATCTCAAATGCAAAAACTCAAAACTATAGATTCGTAGATCCCATCTAAAGCTACAACTTTCATATAGAAAGTATTTCAATTTGACTCCATATAACAAAGATATGATTTTTCCAAGGCAAAAAGCGCTCGTACGCGATTAATATACTGCTGAAATTTTGTTTAATTTTTTTAGCATCTTAACGACCTCAAATGGAAAAACTCAAAACAAGAAAGTTGTAGATCTCGCCGAGAGCTACAATTTTCATATATAAAGTA